AAAGGGACATTATGAAACTTTTTCAGATTTTAAATAACTTTCTTAAACCAGTACGTGTTAAAATTACCGTTTACAGGGTTAATGAAACGTCACTCGGGTCCCCATCGCCCTCTGTGACCAGAATACCGCTTTTGCAACTTCAGAGTGCCGGTTCACCACCTGTTAGACAGAAAAAATTGAGCTGACCTACCAGGCACAGCATTCTGCTTCCAGCACATTTCCTGCATGTTTTAGACCGTGAGCACAGCAGATTAGCTTCATTTAGCGATGAATCACTCCTGTAGACACTCATGAAGGCTGAGGAGACATTTCAGCCGTTAGATTAAGTTGGTAACGCACAGCAAGGAGACAATTTTCACTTTTTCTTTGACCACAGATAATTAATCACAGAGACTGGGGTTGCTAAAAGCATGCGAGTAAGACCACAATCTCTACTCATCCGACCTGACTGAAGGAATTTTCAAAGGAAAAAGTGACTAACTTTCCATTTTTGGTCATTTATTTTTCAGTGAGCAGGAAAGACCAGGAATTTCATCATTTCCTGTGCAAAAGTGATATGTATGAAATCCTTTTTTGGATCTACAGAGATTCACAAATGTGTATTCTTCAAACTTTTCTTCACAAATCATTTTTGTGCTCCTTTAATTCAACCATTCAGCATTATTTTATCATTTTTAAGGTAAACAAATCAAACATATCCAGCCTGTGAGTATGCTGAACTTTAATTTTCCGGCTCAGAAATGACGAGTTTCAGTTGACCTCTTTTAGTTTTCCAGTCAACCTTCTGGTATCAGAAGCCTCTCAAACCAAAAAAGGACACTGTTGATTGGTTCATGATAAACCATCATTGTGGAAAGTTTGGTTTGGTCCCTGGAGGGTAAACCTGTCCACTGATGTCCGTAAATCCCGTCAGCTACAAGCTTCAGCTGCAGATTAGCCCACAGATGTGGACTTGGGAGCCCGGTTAAATCAATCAGGTTATTTATAGCTGGATGGGAAGACTTTGGCCTTGTGACGTGATAACAAGGCGAGCGTTTGAAGTTTCCTCTTCCTGTGAGTAAAGGTGATTTAAACAGGAATTTCTTTTGGAATGTAAACCGGTCCAACGAGCTCCCCGATGGGGCAAGATGGTTCCTGTCATGCCTTTCCTGTTCTGGTGGCACTTAACACAGGCCACTGAGCAGCCATGTTCAACGTGTGTGTGTGGATTGTTCAAAAGTGCACGAGTATCAATGAAACGTACTGGTTCAGAGCAGCTGTGGCTCTGGTGTCAGCAGGAACTTGGTTTGCTAACCCTGCACAGCAGGGGGTGGTTTGGTAGTTACGACTGTTTGAGGCTCCAGGGCAGCTCTGCAGCAGAAACAGAACATGGACAGGTCAGCGTTGCAGTTCCCTGTGCTGACTTCTGCAAAAGGTACATGCTGTTTGTGTTCATCAACGCGTCTGAAGCAGTCTTTCACTTTCATGTAGCTTCAGGCTCATGTTTGTGATTTGGGGAGACTTTAGCGTTGGACTTTAACTCCGATCACTGCATTATGATTTTAGCAGAACCGCTGTGTTGCTTTATTTGGATTGGGCTTTTCCGATACCAGAACCTGTGTGACGCACTTTGGTCAGTTTTACTGTCGTGTTGCCTCTTATTGATCTGCCTGATAGCAAAAACAGACTCATCCAGAGTCAGTGGTGACCTTTTCTTCTTGCCTCATTCCACCGATCTTGTGTTCCACTTTTATTTTGCTTCTTTTTGGATGAAAATAAAACTCCTGCAGGACGACGGGGAGCGCGCTGTAATCCCATTGTCACTGCAGGAAGTGTCATCTAGACTGGGACGAATACCAGTTTGACATTTACTGAGTTGTGGTGAGAAACATCAGGAGTGCTCCTCAGAGGAGCGGGGTTGTGCTGTGGACCTGTTTGAGGGTTTTCTTTATGTAAAAACCTCCTTGGGGGGGAGGAGTTTTGCTAACTTCTGTGTTGGGCTGAGTCACTCAGCAGCACTCCCTGGGAAGATTGCATTGAACCTAAACTTAGCTCTGTTGTGGGAGCCGCTTGCTCCTAAACACACAACCCGCTCCGTCAGGGAAGATCGGATCTGTCTTCTGCCTCCGGCACACGGGTGAGTGCACCTGCCGAACACCTGAAACCTTCAGGGTTCTCTGGAGGGTGGTTTTTATTTATTATTGTATTGATTTTTTAATTCTCAGGCTTTCACATTTCTAAATTATTAAGATCCTCACTCCTAAACTTTCCTTCTGCCATGTCACAAAGAAGGATCATTTGTGAATGGTCTCTCAGGTATTCATACGTGGGGCCACACAGCCCAACACTCCCGAGCTGCTGGACACACACCCAAACACACCACACACACAGGTGTGAGCATTCATTCCTGTACATTTCATTGCACATTTTACCAGAAGGAACCAGAGGCTGTCAGCTGGTGGAGTTGCTGGAGGCAGTCATGAGAGACAAGAATCTGAAAAATGTCTCGACGGAGATGCCG